CTCTTACCCAATGGGTACCGGGGGCTCTTTCCATCGGGGTAAAACGGCCGGGACGTGAAGCTGACCACTCACCTCCGTCTACTGCCGAGATCAAGAATAGGCTCTATTCCACTTCCCCACACATCTTCACGGCATGGTGATTAATTAAACACAGGGAAACATAATATGTGTCATAGTTCACTATTATTATTATTATTATTATACTGATATAACAAAATATTAAAATGGTATTGCATTAAAAGAACTGCAAGCTATGAAAATTGTCGCATAAAAATGATTTAATATCCCTAGAAGCTGCTTACACGAACCGTAGAAAGTGTAAGCTTCTCTAGAAGCTGCAGTAGGTCTCTATATACTTATCAAATACTGGCTATTTTTTTGCAATTTTACATAGGCCTACATAATTGGCCTTATTATATATTTAGGCTATTGCTGATACATAGGCCTGTGTCACTATCTGACCTAAGATGCAAATAACACTTTGCTGAAATATTCAGCACCCCTAAAATGTAGTTCCTAGTGAGATTTGCATGCTTATCACCTAGACCAACTTACACAGATCTTTGATTCACAAGCCGTTTTTGAGAATTTTTATATACCGTAGTTAAATTCGAGCGTCATATGAAGTAATAGCTGTATTTCACCATGAACGAAATTCACCCAACAGTGCGTAGCTAGTAACAAATTTGGTCCATATCCACCGGGTATCTTGGGATGTGAGCCATGGTGAACACCACACTGGCACCATTTATTCCTCATGTCTGAAAGCAAAAACTTGCTAGATTTACAGATGCAAATTATTGTTGTAAGTAAATGCTACTACAACGAAACAAATCAAAATCTGATTCAGAAAGTAATTAAGAGGAGACTGAATTCAGGTAATGTCTGCAACCATTCAGTCCAGATCATTTTATTTTCTCGTCTTCTGTCTATAGAACTTCAACATTAAAATATACAAAATGCAATTTTGCCTGCGATGGTGTTAAACTTGGTTTCTGATATTAATGGAGGAGCATAAACTGAAGGTAAGTAGAAGTAAGCCCAGTGAGTACAGCGAAGGGGTACGGGCTGGACGGTTGGGATTCGAATCCCGACAGGGAAACTAAATTCCTTACATCAGTAATACCAACATTGCAGCCTCTAAAATTCCTGTGGAAAATATTAATATATTGCTTTAACACCTGTACCAATCTTCAGGAAAACTGGTACTTATATCATGTCACCTGATGCCATATCAACAACATTACAGCCTCTATTGGCTAAACCTTAATATTACTCAAACGCCTGTCATGAAACTTGTTATGTATATCATGCCACATGAAGTCATCTTAACACCATACTCCATAAATCCCTTCCATCAGGAGTCCAACATTGCAGCCTCTCAAATTGTTAATACCCTTAACACGACTTGAATGCCTGAACTGATCGTCTTGAAACTTGGCATTTGTAACACGCTGAGGCTATCTCAACGGTATACTCCATAAATCCCTCCCGTCTGTTATACCAGCATTACAGTCTCTCACAAACCCTCTCCTATCTGCAGCCATACTTACCTCCCGTGGTGCAATTTGTTCACAATGACGAAGCTCTGGTAACAATTTTACAAATTTAAATCATTTTAGTACATTCAGGTTCCATAAAAATCCAGTTTATACAAGTACTATTGTTTTTATTGACTTAACGCATGTAAGAAGGCGTAAATTATTTTATTTTAGGTAACTAATATAGCAGAGGGTAGAGCTCGCGCATACGAGGTAACGTCACATGACTCATTGCCTTGTAAACCGTCACATAACTGGTCAGCTAG